AGCGGTGGGCGATAGGCCCTCGAGGGGAGAAGCAGTCACTGTCACTGTGACAGAGATGCAGAACAGTGTCGTGAGCCTTGTCTCAGCCCCGGAGCTGAAGCTCAGTTTGATCGGGTGGCTGACGCCGGTTATCTTGGTTCCCGTCGATGGGTTTCACCTGTTGAACTTTCACCAATGCCACAATTCCGATGATTTACACTCATCGTTATTGCGTTTTCAGTCTCGGCCAGTGCCCCTTTGACGATGTAACGTTTATCAGTCGTTGGCCGACGTGTACATCAACTGATGATCTTAACACAGAGCATAACGCTCTTGACACCCCTTGGCTTGATATGCACACTTTGACAAGCACCCCGCTCTGCCCCAGTACTGGTACTACAGTTGACTGGAAACACCAACCAGATGTTCGTGAACTGTAGACGGCATTATCGGCATCCAAGACTTTGGATACATGTTTCAGGAACTACTATGTATGAATCATTGGAGGCAGTGTCTCAAATTCTCGTGATGATGCTGTACGACCATATCGATGAGCATTTCTCTTCTTTTTACGAGCTTTGGCTGTTGTGTAACACCCTCCCCGCTCCTCAGGCATCCTGAGTGACAATCTCCTGCGATGTTATCCGTCCTGCCATCTGACTTGGCTCGTCAAGTGACTCTGAGCCGTCGGATCGGCGGGCTGCGTTTACAGTTTAACTCTACCGACGCAAGGCGATCTCAAGGACGTGTTTGAGACTGAGAGGAATGCCTCTAGCATTTTCGAGCTGTCACCATGTCTGATTAGCCGTGTTATATCCCTTGACACTAGCCAACGTCTGCCACGACATGAAACAACTCATACTAAACATGGGCTTTGGTAGCCGCCCCCATATATCGATTGGTATTCGTCAATATCCATCACTTCGGATGCAACTCAATATCGAGCTTTAGTTTCCCCATGACCTTCTTTGAGCTTGATGCAAGAGTCCTAGTGGGCGTTTAGAGTCACCAATAGTCCAATACCTCGTGAGCGCAGATCTTAATCCTGCATATCTCACCGTGATTCTTATCAATTCTGCGCATAGCCTTTGGCGACGGCAGGAGCCTACTTTATTGTACATTTTTAGCTCAAATGGTTGCACCCGAGCGGATGCACTCTGCCTAGGTAAGCTGCAGGTTCCCTCCACAGGGTCAGCAACGTTCCCGTTGCAAACGCCTTGGGCTAAGTCGAAGCAACTTGTCTGTCTTGAAGAGCCAAGCTACGATGATTATATTGATTGCCTTTTCCAAGGCAGCATAGAGGCTTGCTCTCTTTGGCAGGAGGTTTCAACAATAACGTTGCTGCATTTGTCATGGTCAGCTTACCAATGATATCATTGTGTTCTTGTCATTCAAGGCAATGGCTATATTTCTGGAGGATTTAAGGCTGTGTCGGTTGATGCTGAGCCCAAGTGTGACAGTGTCGATCACCTGTCTGCATTTCATCCGCAATGGAACAGTTTGAATTTCACCCCGCTACTACATCTTTCAATCGTGTTTGGTCGACCATCGAGCCGGGCGTCGATGAACTAGTCCTCAACGAGGACTCGCAGACAGGCAGACGTACAATATTACAGCGATGGCAGTCTGGCGCCCGCAATCAGCAGGACATTTTCATCCACGACTATGTTGAGGAGATTTTCATGGTTGAGGGTGATTTGTACGACCAGAATGTGCAGCAGAGTTGGGAGAAGGGCGCGTATGCGTACCGAAAGCCCGGGATGCGGCATGGTCCTTTCAAGAGCGAAGGCGGATGTTTGATGTTTATTGTCTGTATCCCCGTGGGTGCGAATGGTAAAGAGGCTGGCGATAGAGTCTGACGGGTAGCTGCATGATTTCCGTTGGAGTTTTTGTATCCTGCACTTCAAAATGTCTCTGCTGTGCCTTGCATGCGGATGATTTCCGTATATCAACATGGGGTCGAGATGGGATCGGAAGCGAGGGCGTTTAAGGCCGGGGCCGAAGTCCGGATTTGGTTCTCGGTCGTAACGAGACTGCACAGGTCACTCCTGCAAATACAGCCAATTTACTATTTTCATGGAAATTAATACCGAAGGGACATTTCTTATGCACAATTTATCGCTTTAATTCTTAAAGTCTAGCTAAGGTGCTTGGGTGAATCGTAGGCAGATCAAGCAGAACGTATGTGACATGTATAGAGCGACAGGTTCCTATGATATACACCTGAAGGCTTGCGCAATGGACCTTCTGATCCATAGTATCATATCAATCTTTCACATTTGAACGCTTCCTAAACAGATATTACGACAAGTCTAAAGGGCATGCAATGTTTGTCCGAGAGTTCGGTCATGATATATCGGCCTCGGTGATATCAGCTCAACACTAACATCTCTACCGATTTCAATTGCCGTATTCAGCTCGTAAATAGACTCAGTTGACTCATTTTTTATGTATATAACAAACAGAAATCCTTCTGACTTCAAATCATTATCATTGTCTTCATCGTCAACTTCCATCACCATGGTACCATCACCGACAGCCCTACAAGCTCTAGAGGCAAGTCCTCGCGTCCACGACCTCCTCGCCCGCCTACACGCCGAATCAGAAGCTCAAGAAAAGACCATCTCTCAAACCTGGTTCTACTTTAAATATCTCTTCGGCTTCTACTTCACTGGTAAGACATGGTCTGCATCCGCAGACGCCCACATGAGCGATAAGTTCGTCGCTCTAGAGCAAGATAAATGTCTTTTCATGTATCTTCTCGCCCGCAGTATAAACGCCACGAGCATCGTTGAGGCGGGGACTAGTTTTGGTGTTTCGACGATGTATCTTGCTCTGGCGGTAGGACAGAACGTTAGTGCTATGAGAACGAGGGGTGAGAAAGTTATGGGGAGAGTTGTTGGTACGGAGTGGGAGGCTAGTAAGGCTGAGAGGGCGAGAAAGCATTGGAGTGAAGCAGGAGAAGAAGTTGAGCCGTGGATTGAGCTGAGGGAGGGAGATTTGAGGGAGACGCTTTCGGAGGAGGGAATGCCTGAGGAGATTGATATGCTGCTCCTTGACAGTAAGTCCTAAGAGCCTTAGCTGATGAAGAAATGCTAATATTGAGCAGCTTGGATACCAATGGCACTTCCAGCTCTGGAAATCATCAAGCCTCGTCTGAAGCGAGGTGCTATCATTCTGGCTGATAACACAAAGATGGCTAAGGCGCTGTATAAAGAGTTTTTGGATTATATTCATGATCCCAACAATGGATTCAAGACGACTACTACGGCTTATAGTGGTGGACTTGAGATGATTGTGTATCTGCCTTGATATGGGTCCAGAGATAATGTTGATTTGTGGTTGGAGTTGAGGTCTAAAAGCTATAAAAAGGCTATGTAATACATGGGCTCGAAATGTACTAAAGATCTATAAGAGCTTAAGAAATGTGTGATCCTCCCATTATTGTGAAAAGTCAAGGCGGGATGCCAGTCTCCAAGTATACCAAAGATGAGCCCCTAGACCAATCAAGTTCAAGTGAATGCACATAGCATGCGAAGTCCTGAATCTCTTCTTGATAACCTCCATCGTTGACTTCGGTCCCTCCACCGTCTTTCCTTCCAGCGCCCCTATCTCATCAGCTTATATCCCACAGAAGCAACGAAGTGACTTACCCTGCTCAACACGTTCCAACATCAACTGTCTCGTTCTAGGCCCAAACACCATAAGATTAAGTCCCGAGACGAATCCAGATATCGCAAAAGGTATCCAATCGCTCTTATGCTCGATCAGGGAGAGAGCACCGTAAGGGGGTAGTGTTATGGCTGTGAGGAAGAGGAGAAGAGCTTGGCCTTGGAAGAAAATCGGGAAGAGATCCTTTTGTAAGTTGATGTAGGGAGTGCGTGGGAGGTGTTTGAAGGTGACTTTGGTGATGATAAAGGTTTGGTAGAGTTGAGAGCCGAGAAGAGTTGAGAAGGAGAGGAGGTGGACTGGTGCGAGGAGTGCTGTTACAATGCCCATTTTGTCGTATGATCAGTTACTTTAAAGGCTTTTGTGTATTGATGATTGAATACAAGTGTAGAATAGGATTGGGAGCTGGTGCTGGGCGTTTCTTATACTTGGAGTTGAGGTGTCGTTGATTGGTGTAGGTTAGATCCGAAGGCATTCGGAAGTTAAGCTTACGTCTGAGATGCGGCGTCACAAAGAGCGGCATTCGTAATCCTCCAATGTTGATTTGAGCTTATAGATACTTCAGCAAGATACCATAAATACATTTTCAATCAAGCAATGTCTCGTCCATATTGTTGTAGTACGGAAAAAGGCAACCATTGTGTAGCATAATCTAATACAATCATACAAGATACAGAGTTTCGTTGATGATGCATTACAGCACTTCGTTTCTCAATAAGCTTATAGTTTTAAATACTCTATACCATGAGCCCATTAGAGAAGTCTCCCTAGTCCTCCAGTCCCAGTTATGCCATGACCGTCAACGCCGGCCAACTCTTAACCCGGAGCCGGAACTCAAGACCCACTCGAATATCCGGCCCCGTTCGGCAGCAGACGGATGTATAGCTAGGTAAGACAAAGGAATAAGCATTCATTGCGTCATGTAGCTTGTACGCATGACAGGCGAGACAGCCATCAGAACCCGTTTCACCAACGAAAGCCAGGCCGCGTAAAAAGAAAGGTCTCGGAGGGAGTCGAACCCTCGCTGGCGGAATCAGAATCCGCAGTCATAACCGTTAGACCACGAAACCTGAGCGCATGGCAACTTTGTGAATGCCAGCGATTCGATTTGCTCACTATACAGTGAGGGACGGCACAACGAAATGTACTCAAGATTCTCATCTAGAGAGTCTCTTTCAAGGTTATTTTCATTCAGCGGAAGCAAGGATTGAAATCACACATTCTAAAGCTCAGGTATATCTTGAACGAAGGTATCTAGAAGCAAGACTATCACTCAGTTCACATCGAACGCAAACTCAACAAGGAAATCGCATAATCCATAAACATAGCATCATATACTCATAATTCTCCCTCTAAGCATCAATGATCTCAAAGTTCACAAGAACCGAACACTGCGTCTCATGCCCCTTAAGATCCAACATGCGAATAAATCTCCATCCCGGCTCAACATAAAGCAATCTCACCGCTGCAACAGCAAACATCGGGTTCCTCGTCCAACTATCATCACTCTTGATAAGCATACGCAGGAAAGTCATCTCATTATCTTCATACTCCCACGTCAACGTCTCATCCCAAAGAGGCTCTGTTGGGGGCGGGTTTGGTCCTCTGTGAAGAAATTCAAGCTTGTGCTGCTTATACGGCTCTGTCTTGCGCTTGGGAGGGTCCCCTTTGATGTTATCAGGGTGGTACAGCGTGCATGTGAGATAAGGCTTGATGGAGTCTGCTTCTGAGTCGCCGTGCAGAGGGATGTCTGTTGCGCCTGCGACGTGAAGACGGAGACGCTTGCTGCGACCTGTACTCAGTCTTCCGTTTCCACCGGCGCGCAGAGCAGCGGGCTTGAGGACGTAGCCGTCTGTACCGCTGAAGAGAGCTTCGTTGAGTTGGTTGCTGGTACCAAAGTTCTGCAAGTTCAACGCACAGATCTGAGCACCGATTCCCCAGTAAGGAACGGGCTTGAGATTGGTGGATGAGATTCGCGTGCCCTTGGGATAAACGCGCATGAGATGATGGGCATTGTGTCGGGCGATATTTGATGCGTGCTCGGGCAGATGAGATGCCAGCCCTGATTCAGATACGTTGATGAGATGGTGATGAGGACCATTGGTGAGGCTTCCTTCTTCGAACCATGAGTTGTTCATTGGCTTGACAGACTGCGCGTAGACGCCGAGCTCAGCGAGCTCTGGAATAATGATAGAGGGCTCCTCCTTCTTTCTCTTATCCTTATACGCCTTGCGCGCAGCCTTTTCCTCCTCCTCGTCTTCCGAGTCATCCGAGTTGCTATCGCTGCTTGAAGGCTCATCTGTAAAGTGATACTCAACAATAACAGCAATCTTTGCCCCCAAATCCTCCAGCTTCACATGTTGATCGGAACCAGCTTGCTCCTCGTGGCCAATATGCCTAACGGCCTTGCTCAAAAGACGATCTCCAAAAACGTCCTGCATAATATTGACAATGCGCATCTGGCCATACGCATCGCAATGGTTCTCCAGCGACAGAAGAATAGGCGAAGCTCTGAAGCCATACTTTTGCGCATCAACGGCTTCTTGATCCGCAGAGTTTCGAATCGTCTCACAAACCAAACGAAACGAAATGTGGGATACTAGAGTATATCCATGGGTGACCTTGGGCTCATCTCTATCATCGCTGTTATCCCACACATCAATCTCGACACATCTCGCCCCCGTCCTAATCGCACTCTCATACGCAGTCGCGCACGAAGACCCATAAAGCTGATGCGCCATAAGATAAGTATTATGGCTCGAGCTGATAAAGTACTCGGGCAGCGGATGCGACCTATCCGTGAGTTCAGGCGGTACGCGAATATGCGGTTTGCTAACGAGTTCCAAGAGCTCACGCGACGAGTCCTGAGAGTCAATCTTGGCTTCCTTTTTGGAGAGCATCTTCTCTTTAACGAGGAACTCTCGTAGGGCGCTGCTGACTCTGAGGTCTGTTACCATGCGACGTGCGCTGTGGCCGCCGCCCGCGACGGTGTTGTTGTCGATCTCCTCGCCGAAATCTTCATCGTTGATGCGGCGGCTTTTGGACGAGAAGGGGTTGAGGTCGCCGAGGCGAGTTGCGAGTTCTGAAGCCATGACGTATGTACGTTGTGAAGATGGAGGAGTGAAGTGAAGGGAAGTGGGATGAGATGAGGGGCAGCTGAGGGGAGCTTTCAGCTATACCTGTAGCTGTAGCTGTCTGTAGCTGAGCTGGAATGATTGAGATGTAAGAGTAGAGTGAGATGAGTATGTAATCAGATCATTTGATCATCAGTGGAAAGAAACAAGAATTATATGTCGCATGGAGTCACTTATCATGGTCTAAATCAAGAATCGATATAAAGATGAAGGGATGCACTGCCACGATCGTACATTGTCACGTCTTGGCTTTGCTCACTTGCTTGAATTCTCCGCATTAAACACCAAGAATGAGGCGCCAAGCAGAACCTCACTAGCAAGGTCAGCTCTTCACCAAAAGTCCAAAACATGGATGTGCCAATATTCACGGCATCTGAAGCCGAGTTGGCAGAGCTTTAATGAGCCGTTATTTGTTGCATCGTGTCTCTCTGTGGATACCACAAGAGCTTCGCCACAAATTGTCACCAGTCCAAGCTCTTGGGGTCTTGGTTGGTCTTGTCGTATTATTTTCTTACATTGAGAACGCCTTACATATCTCGAATAACATAATAATCTTTGCTTATTTTCATAAACTTAGCAATGAAAAACGTACATTAATATTTGTTGACATGCGATAAGATGCAGTACTCCTGCATTGTGACTTTTGGCACGCAACCGACAGAGATTCCCCAAACCCAACCCATATTCCTTCCAAATAGCCATGGACTCAATACACTACCCGAGTCCTAAGATCGAAAGAAAGCCTCATACTGCCGTTCAGAAACACGCGCTGGCATATGCTTATGCCCAATAATGCCCCTCGCTCTCTTTTTTCTGACATCCTTATCACCCAAGCAGACCCAATAGCCTGTTCGAGGTTGGCATTTCGCCAATGGCCTCCAGTGTCGCTCCACCTCACCAGTCTCATGCCTCTGTTTCACTGTCCAGCCCTGGCGGAGAGCAAGACTACGTTGGACAGCATACGTGCTTGTAGGATAGGCAATTGAGAAGTCGACATGAGGCTTGAGGTAAGGAACCATTTGATCGACTTTCAGGATAATGTTCTTTTCCACAAGTTCGATCCGCTCCTTGGTCGAGTACTTATAATCGCTGATTTGACCATACGATTTCGGGATCATATCTCCTTGTAGGGAGACATAAAGTTTCTTGATGTTCAGAAAAGTCTTGGGAATGGCCTTGAGAAACTGCCTGAAAGTCTCCATATCGCTGAGGGGTGGAGAGGCTCTAAAGTCTTCGCTGATGTCTGGCAGGATCCACGGTGTGAACTCCCAAACGATTTCGACAGATGTGATGGCATTGAGTCGCTGTTGTTGGAAGAAATCATGAATGTTCAGAATCATTTCTTTGCTTGCTGTATGAAAAGTGTTCGTGGCGTATAGTACATGAATACCCTCGCGGTAACTGCATCATTACCATTAGCGAATACTTTGAACGGGGCTGGGAACTTACGCTTGCTTGCAGGCAAGTAGCCAGCCCATTGCCCCTACAGAGCACTTCTCTGGCCCTTCGCCAGGCCAGTACTCACATTGTGGGCGGAAGCCATTTCGGCCGTTCCACCCAAAGACACACTCGTCGTCGCATGGCTGAGGATCGTATCCGGGTCCGCGTGAGTTTATAACTCCAGAGGGCGGAAGTCGATGGCAAACGGAGCTTCGCCATGCCCAGTCCGCTTTCGGCTGCTTACCCGAGGCAGTCAACTTGTCGAGGTCAACCACAAGGGGGCCGGGAAATACAAGGCGGTTCTGAGCAGAGGTAGTGCCATACTATGGCAGTTGTCGAAGCCCGCCGTGACGCTTGGAGTCGGGGAAGATTGGATAGCCACAAATGAGATCCACATGAACGGTACGGTCACCGAATGCCAGGCGCAAGATTCTCGTGCGGATTTCAGTTGGGAGTCTGTCAAAGAATGCGCCGTTTGCCTTGCCGGTCGCGACTGTACCAGACTGAGGTGGCTCTGGAGTGAGCAGCCTGCGAGGCTGTCCGTCATGGGATGATGGTAAAGGAGGGTCGCTCATAAACGGAAGCCCAGGGGGCAAGGGATAACTTCTCATCATCTTGGGCGAAAATGGTTGTCGTTTGGGAGAAGAGAAAGAGGGTGTTGGCGCTTGAGAGGTTGAAGAGAAGCGCTGCTGTTATGTGCCTGAGAAAGGCAGGTTGGGGCTCGAGGAAGGTACGATATATCGAAAAAGATATTGGAAAGAACTATTGAGGTAGCAGTTTCAGCCTCAGTCTCGGGCAGCTTGAAACTTGGAAATGATCGTAGTAAGCTATATAGAACTTTTGTCGCTCTCACAAGTGGCGATGAGTCTTTGGTAAATTCATAGAAGTCTCTCTCATCTCTAGGGTATCTCCAGTCTCCCGTCCAGAGCTCGAAATGGCAGCCTTGGGCACCAGGCATCAAGGCACCCAGAAATAGCCCCACTATCCTCACGACGCGTAGAAAAAGAAAAATCCCGAATTTTTATCTGACTTCTTTTTTCTTTTTTCTCTCTAATTCAAAATATTGAACAACGCAAAAAACCACGTTCATGTTTCTCTCACAATTGATGCGAGGTGCGTCGAAAGGCCTGCGTCCAGGACCATCGATTCAGAGGAACACAGAATGGAGAGAAAAGCGAACAATCTTGGGTGCGGTGCTTCCCTCGACGATGGGGAGGAGCGCAATGATTGAACGTACATACTTTGCTTTAGTACTATCTACTTGTGATAAATGAATGGCCTACTGATGGGAGCAGGGTCTGTGAATGTCTCTAGAGTGCTCGACTGTAACGACGCTGAAGGATGACCTGCGTAGGATCTACCTGTGCTGCATGACTACACACAACAATGCACTGTATTACGATGCTACAATGTGTATGTCTCGACTCTTCAAAAGGCAATGAGGCTGAAGAATATGCTACTCTCATTCGCTTGCAATTATCGAATGCCTGTCCTACGGATGGTCCAATCAATAGAGTCAAACTCTGCACTGTCAACATTGACTTCACCTCACTCAAGCAGCGATTTATGCTGCATCGCAAGAAACAAGAACATTGAGACAATCAGTTGAATTCGAGCAACTATTTCGAGCTATCCTAGCCATGCCTATCGACTCATGCCGAAAGCAGAATCACATATAAAAAAGCAGCAGACTCAAATCATCCACTACCGTTATCCAGAAATAATATACAGCAATATTAAGCTGTAGAGAAGAGAAAAGAGGAACTCGTCCCCTGCATGACCATATCCATCTGTTCATTTTGTCTCTTGTTGTTTCTTCGAGCGTTTTTTTTTGTTTTTTGTTGCTAATTCTTGTAGATAATGAGTGATGAAAACATCACCGACGTACTGTAAAAGCAAACGATCGGATTCAAAGTCATCGACACCTGAAGATGTTAGAAAGTGTTCGATGTGAGAATATGACGTGGGACTTACTTATTCTTCGGGCATGTCGGCGATGCTGCGAGCTGCTGCCTTGATAGCAATGAGATCTCGCTTGGCCGCAAAGTTCTCAGCCTTGAAATCCCGAGTGTCGTAGTGAGAGTCGGGACCTCCAGGACCAATAGCACCATCATCGCCATCGACGGCATCGAGAACTGCCTCAGCAGCGCGCTTGGCCTTCCAGCAAGGTTGTCCTCGCCACATGCACCAGCGCTTATCCTCCTGAAGAGTGTTGAGGTCGCGCTTGGCGGTAGCGTTGGGAGCAGCGTCGGGGAAGAAAGTCTCGAGCTCGAGGCTCTTGAAGTACTCCTCGGGACTACCACGCGCAGAGAGGGCGATCAGGTTGGCGAGCTCGACGATGGAGCGCTTGGCCTTGTGAGCGGCGTCGCGGGGGAGATGAGTGGTGCTGGGTGCGTCGGCGGATCGGGTGTCGAGAGATCGAGTTGCGTGGAGGGCGTTGGAGAGAGCTTGACCCGCATCACGCTTGGCTTTCCAGCATGGCTGTCCTCGCCACATACACCAGGGCTCAGGAGCAGCGTCGCGCTTAGCCTTCCAACATGGCTGGCCACGCCACATGCACCAGGGCTCAGGAGTAGCATCACGCTTGGTCTTCTTCCAGCAAGGCTGACCTCGCCACATGCACCATCTAGGTTCGTTCTCAGCCTCGGGTGCGGGCTCAGCGGCAGCGGCGCGCTTGGTCTTCTTCCAGCAGGGTTGTCCGCGCCACATGCACCAAGGCTTAGGTTCAGGCTCAGCGACGGGAGCGGCTTCACGGGTCTTGAGCTTCATCTTGTCCTTCCAGCAGGGCTGTCCGCGCCATGTGCACCAGGGCATAGGCTCGGCAACAGGATCAGGCTTGGGGGCAGCGACGGGTTCGGGGATAGCTTCAGGCTCACGCTTGGCCATACGCATCTTCTCTTTCCAGCAGGGCTGTCCGCGCCATGTGCACCAAGGCATAGGCTCAGCAACGGGGTCGGGCTTAGGAGCAGCAACAGGTTCGGGAATAGCCTCACGTTTGGCCATTCGCATCTTTTCCTTCCAGCAAGGCTGTCCGCGCCAGGTGCACCAAGGCATAGGCTCAGCAACAGGATCAGGCTGAGGAGCGGCAACGGGTTCGGCAATAGCCTCACGCTTAGCCATCTTTTCCTTCCAACAGGGTTGGCCCCTCCAGGTGCACCAGGGCATGGGGTCGGCGACAGGGTCGGGTTGGGGAGCAGCAACTGGTTCAGGGATAGCCTCGCGTTTGGCCATCTTCTCCTTCCAGCATGGCTGACCACGCCAGGTACACCAAGGCATGGGATCGGCAACGGGATCGGGTTGAGGAGCGGCAATGGGTTCGGGAATAGCTTCGGCTTCACGCTTGGCCTTCATCTTTTCCTTCCAGCATGGCTGACCTCGCCAGGTGCACCACGGCATCGGCTCAGCAACTGGATCAGGCTGGGGTGCAGCAACTGGCTCGGCGATGGCCTCTCGTTTGGCCATCTTTTCCTTCCAGCAAGGTTGACCGCGCCAAGTGCACCAGGGCATAGGGTCGGCAACAGGATCGGGCTGAGGGGCTGCGACAGGCTCGGGAATAGCTTCACGTTTGGCCTTCATCTTCTCCTTCCAACAAGGCTGTCCGCGCCAGGTACACCAAGGCATGGGATCAGCGACGGGATCAGGTTGAGGAGCTGCAACAGGCTCGGGAATAGCTTCACGCTTAGCCTTCATCTTCTCCTTCCAGCAGGGCTGTCCACGCCAAGTACACCAAGGCATGGGATCAGCGACAGGGTCGGGCTGAGGCTCAGGGACAGCATCACGCTTCTGAGGACCGCAGAAGTGCTCACGGCCAGCCTTGCAGATAGCATCAGCATTTTTGTCGCCCTTCCCAACGATCTCCTCGCATGGCTTGCCCTTGTAGTCGAGGTTGCAGAAAGGGGTGAAGAAGTCCGGGCCGAAGTTGTCGATGGCGGACGGCGGAGGCGCCGCGAGTGCGGCTCCGGCCACCGCGGCCAGAGTAACGAAGGAGTATTTCATCCCAGGAGGTTGTGTGTCTCAGTAGTGAGTGTTTCGAAGTGTAAAAGTTGTGTTATAGTGAGTGGTACTCGTAAAAGAGTTGTCGTGTATCAAAGGTGTTTTGAGATATCGTTGTCCTTCTTTCGATGGGAACGAGTCTGAAGAGAAAAGAAAGGAGAGTATTTATGATGGAATTGAGTAGTTTTTTTATAGATCTCGAGTTCAATGTTCATGATAAAGATTGACAAGTTGGCCATCTTGAGAGAAAGGGAATTTGCCCGTGCATACACACACTTGCTCTGGTTGTGGTGTTGTAAGGCTTCTATTGAGGTCTATTGACGCTTGGCGGGGTCAATAAGCCCCCTTCGCTCTTCGGTTCGAACAGTAACAGTCAATGCGAGATTTCTATCCTCAATAGAGCCAAATCAAAGACGATCAAAGACGGTACAAGCCACGAGTTGCATGCAAAGATACTAAAGCTTCCTCCAAGAGAGTGTGAGTAGCTTTGCGGCTTATTCACAGAAGCCATTGCGCAGACTATCATCTAAGCTACTCCCAGCTGAACGATATGTGACACCTCCAACTCATTCACCTCGCTTTTTACTTGCCGGACGCGAATGCACGAGGAGATTGATCTTGGCGGGCGGGATAAACGTTGGTTCATGCGAGTTTGGCGGGTTATTTGGCTATTGACAGCTGTCAGTGCTTAGTGAGGTTCTATTGACACCCAAAAAGGGTAAGGGGGCGGTTGTAGCCTACAAACGGCGAGAGGAGATGAAACAAACCTACTTTCTCTTTGAGGAGTGGCTTTGAGAGAGTTTGGAAGTGTTTGAGAAAGAAAGATGTTTATTTTGGGTTAAGTTGTATTTGCTATGGTTATGCTACGACTGTGATGTGAGTTGAAGGGGTGATGTTGTCAGTCACTACATATCGAACTTGGAGATATCTGCATCTCATTGGAAGTTATTGTAGAAAGCTTATTGTAGAAAGCTAGCGCAGTAATAACTCAAAATGATTACGCAGTCAATGAATAACACCGTCAGTGCTGATATCAGACGATGGAGGTACTTGATATCCCGGTCCCGTCTGGCAGTGTCAAGCATTGCGGCGTACACCCCCAAGGCAACCAATTATCTATCAAACGTAGTGGATCCAAAAGTTCAGATCTTGGACAACTATGAGAGACTTAGAAGAGATAGCAAAAGCACTGACGGTAGAAGAGTGTCGAGACTGTTCCGCCACATGTAAACGCCACTCCTATGTGAGACTACTCACCATCACAAGCACATGAGCAGTCTCTTTGGCGATGATCAAAGCCTTATTCGAACACATGAAAATGCTCGTGTTGCGTTCTTTGTTATGAGACGCTGAGAAGGTTCTCGGTTGACTCAAAATGGGTCTCAATAGATTCAGGGGTGATGACTTTGACCTCTCAAAGAGACGCAACTTCACCTAGGCAAAGCCCACTAACTGCCCTATGTGTTCTTCACTTCCTAGGATCCCAGTTCTTATCCACCTGATCCAACAGGCCCTTCTTCCCCAACACCTTGGACCCCAGTATCTTCTCAAGACTAACCAGCTTGAAGCTCGCCTCAGCACTGGTCTTGCCATTGGGCAGTTGGTTCGCATCATCATGCACAACCACTAAGCCATGAGGGAAATCCTTGTTCAGCGCTGTTCCCACAGCTGTTATGCCGTCTGTGTTGGACACGGGGTCGATCTGGCCATCTGATGACTCTACGAGTGTAAAGGTGGTAACGAACTCGTGAGGAGCGGCTCGGCGGTAGACGTTGTATGCGCTGACGCCTTGGCATGATACTAGAATGAAACCCTCCGTGGGTTTGGAGCCGTAGACGAGAGTTACGCCTTCAACGTCGCCGTAGAGTTTGCCATCGCCGACTTTGCCGATTACTACACCCTTGTCTTTTGAGTCAGGCTCTGCGTCATATCGCCACAGGGCAGAGGGTTCTTCGCCGAGGAAGATCCAGCCGTTCTCTTCGTCGGTCACACAGCCCTCGACTTGGCCTCCGCTGCCGCCTTGGAACTCCCGAACAAGCTTTGTCTGGAGTTCTCCTTTAGATGTGGAAGTGAGTTCGTACTGGAGATATCGTGCTGATTTCTCGTTGACGAAGAGATATTGCTTTCCTGTCTTGGGTGACTTGTAGGTGCACGAGCCGTAGACCTTGTAGTCGTCGATAACAGGGTGGATGCCACCGGGGATACTGGTCAGTGTGCCGTTGGGCAGCATCTCGAAGAGACTTGGTTGTCAGCTAACTTCAAATAACAGGGAGAAGCAACATACCAGAGCGTATCATCAGCTCGGCAAGCAGCAAAAGCCAAGTCGACCTTTCGATTACCGGCCTTGAAACCATAGATCATGTCGACATTGTTTGGTTCACCAGCCGTGAAAGACTGGAGAAGATTGCCAGCCAAGTCGAAGACGCCAAGACCAGCTTCTTTTCCAGACTTCATCGTTGTGACGATTCGAGACTTTTCTGGTCCCTCAGGAGAGATCCAAATGGCAGGATCGTCACCGTCGCCGAGACGAGATTCGGTCTCGTAGGTTGGCTCAATGAGAAGAAAGGAGCAGTGAAGGCCGCCCCATCCCTTATCGCATTTACATTCATTGGGTCCAACACATTTCCCATGCCCGGAACACTTGTCGGTGCAGGTGAAGCTGCTGCAGGTACTCCCAGCAAAACCAGCGAAGCATTCGCATTTGTTCTTCTTGTCCTTGACGCAGTAGCCATTGCCTCGGCAAGTTTTGCAGATTGGCTCAGTCTTGGTGTCTGTCTTAACTTTTCTAGGGTCGTACTTGGTGTTGGCATCAATCTTGAGCTTCTTGAAAGCGTTCTCAAGAGATGAGACGGCGAAACCGTTGACATCCTCTGACTCAATGGCGTATGTGAGAGCACCAGCAGGATACTTGCTCGTAGCACCTTGGTAGATGTTCAGACCCTGCACTTCAATGTCTTCTTGCCCGGTCAAGGATAGTGTTCCCTTGAGCTTGAAAGAGGAATCGTAGACGGCGACCTTGTCTGTTTGAGCGACAAATAAGTAGTCGGAGCCCTTCTTGGGAACATAGACGGCCAAGCCGGTCACATCATCTTCTACCTTGCCAACCGCGGTGATCTTGGGCGCTTTGGTAGACTCTTTGAGTGAAAAGGCATAGACGCTCTTGTCGTCATCTGTAGAGATGTACATGCGAGACTCGGAGCGTGAAACGGCACATCCCGATGTTTCAAAGTCTGTAGGGAAAGTTTGGGTCTAGCAGGTCAGCAAACATTACCGCTTCTTGTTAAGAGAGAGACATACCTGGACAAACTCAAATGACTTGTTTGTCTCTTGAACGAGCAGTTGAACTGCCTGGCCTTTTCCAAACAAGAAGACATAATCGTTTCCAGCCGGACTCTTCCAACTGCACAGCGCAGACCAATCTCCTAGAACTTTAAAGTCGGCATCCTTGATGTGCTTAAACTTGGGCATCTCATAAGCGCGAACAACAGAATCTGGCTGAGCGATAGTGACGAGGACATCCTTGTTGTTGACATCGTAAACAGTGGTGACAAGCTTGCTGCGTCCAGGTGTTTTCGCAGCGACTTGTTTCAACGGAGCCTTTGAGTTGAGATCATAGACGTGAAACCCTCCCTTGTCAGGGCCTCCATCGTTTCCAATCAATAGGGGATTCCCATCAGAGTAGTAAACAGCAGTCCAATCAGACTCAACCTCGCCGGTGTAAGCAGAGACCGCAACGTCTACGTCCACCGCCTTGACGAAACATATCTGGAGAACAACAGCCAATAGGCCAACGAGACTTGAACCAACCATGATTGCCAGAATAGTACTCTTCCTCTGCAGAAAAGAGCAGCCTCTACTTTTGCCTTCCATTGGAACCTTTCTTTTATATGATCTTCGCTCAAGGCACGTGCTACGCTCAATTGGTCACTTATGCCGATGGATGGTAATAGCTGCAATGTCCTGCCAATTTTGGTTGAGAGCGACATCGAATTCTACACCGAGCACTTTTGTGAAACGATGCTCGTGTTGCAAAGGTGTAGTTCTATTGGGTAGGACAGGGATTAGGACTTCGGGGGGTTTTGTTAGCGGGCATGTTTATTGCATGTAGAGTTGTCTATTCATGACAGAAATGTTATGATTGTGAGGGAAATATAAAGAGGCTAGGCTAGACAGAATAGAGTAAATAAGCTTAATTAACTTTATGACTTTATTCTAGTGTAGTGTTGTGTTGGAAGAATTTTGTCCTTCAATTCTTCTCGGCTTTATTATTTATTGTTGTTTACCTCTGACCAATTGTTCATGCAACGCTGTTTCGAAACGTCGATCCTAGCCGTTGCAATATTAATAGCCGTTTTTATAGGAAACAGAGTTTCTTTTCAGGGGAAATATGGTCTGCTATCATAAGATCTTCACTTGAGATTATGAATTAGGATCAGTCTAGTCCACCTTCAGTGACTAGAGTGCTTCCCTTTAGGCCCATCGCAAGAGTACCCAAAATACCCTGGGCTGCTATAGCCAGGGGACCAGATCGATGAGTCTGCACTTCTTCAGCGAAACTTATGCGGCTCTTATGCCAATGAAGCCAGTTCTCTGCTCGAGCTCCTTCATCAGCACGAAACAGTCCTGCACTCACATCAACTACACTAGAATCGGTAGCATCTCGCCAAAACACAGTTGCACCGCATCCTCCGCAGAAGTGACGAACTGCACCTTGCGATGATTGATATGCCTTCAGAGCATCCGTTGGTAACCTTTCAAAGCCCAACGGATCCTCTGATTCTGAACCGTTGGTAGAAACGATAAAGATGTTTGTCCTGGGAATAAAAGCCCAGGTCTGTATCTCGAACCCAGAGGCCAACCGGCAAGATTCACAAGCGCAGGCTCCAGCGAGATATTTGTCTCCTCTGATCCACCACTTTTCGTCTGATGGGTTTGATGTGATAGACTCATCAGTAGAACAGTAAGGATACATCAGGTCAGGATATGCGCGATGCGGCAGATAGCTGACCTCGTTCGGGCGTGTGATGCGAAGATGGATAGCCTCGCACGCACAGAGTGCATCGAGATGCTTCGATTTCGGTGTAAATGACCCCGACTGTGAGCGACTCGAAGGATTCTGCTGTGCCTCAAGAGGAAGCCATATCGAAGCACCTCCGTCGATGGTATCTTCAACTTTTTCATGCGTCGCATAACTCACTCTTGCGCCTGAATCACCGCTTCTTGTGATAACACCCGTAGCCACTCCCCACCTCAACTCGCCGTCTTGATCTTGTTGTGATTGATAGACATGACAGCCACATGTCGAGCAGAAATACCGGCACGAAGCATCGTTCCCCTCAAAGACACTCAATCCATCAAAAGATCTCGGCTTTTCGGTCGGAAGATAGGACGTGAAAAGCAAGCCAGTCGAATTACGACAAATATTGCAGTGGCAGAGAGAAGCATCAGAAACCATCTCGGTCTCCGAAGTCTCTCCCACATGCCGAGAAATGCTCCCGCAAAGACACGTTATCCAATGCATCGTTACAAAAGTCTAACGTTTTAGTCGATAAAAAGAAGAGCACATGATCGTGCTTATAGCTTAAACATGTGTCAAAGTGTATTGATGACGACACGGGAGAACCCCAGATTCTGCAGATGCTGAATAATAGGAATTGTCTCCGCCGATATAGGAGCTCAGCACGAACGAATAAGGAAATAAAACGAAAAACACTTGAATTTCTCCGTTTCTATATGTAATTAGTTGTTTGTGAAGAGCCCTTTCTCGGACTCGTACATATATCGATCAAGCTCCATTAAGATGCGTACATCCGCTCGGGGCCCCGCACCGGCATTTGATTCGGGATGGTAACGATAGGTATGAATGAGATCGGATAAAGGAAGAACCGTCATTGGATTAGATCTAGGTATATATAAGTCTCGACGACCTCTCGAAATGCCAAGTCTATATCTTTAATATCATCCATTTTATTGGCCTCACGAGTATTCAATTGGCTTGAACATCATGGCTAGCACCAAAGACTTGCAAATCGCCATCATGGGCGCCGGCATGGGCGGACTAGGAGCTGCCCTAGCTCTAGCCAAACGAGGTTTTAAACACGTTGATGTTTATGAGACTGCCAGTAGCCTTGGCTTTGTAGGAGCTGGTATTCAAATGGCTCCGAACATGGGAAGAATCCTCGACAGGTTGGGATGCTGGGATGATATTGAGAGAGAAGCTACTTGTGTCGCTGGGAGCAGTATTCGACGTAAGTCTACAAAATCTAAGACTCGGGAGCATACACTGACCTTTTACAGAGGGTGCAACTAATGTTGAGCTGGCTCATGTTGACATGCCCGATATCAAGGGGAAATACGGTTTCTCGCACCTCTGTGGCCATCGAGCTTCCTTAGCTGGTCATCTATACAAAGCTTGCAAGAAAGAGAGTGCCATCACCTTTCACTTTGCGACAAGTTTAGTCGAAGTTGAGAGCTTCGCTCCGAAAGTGATCTTCAAACTCCAGCCCAGAGATGGAGAGGCATTCACTCGTGAAGCTGACATTCTCCTCGGCGCCGATGGCATTAAGAGTGTAACTCGATCTCAGCTCCTCCAGCAAGTCAACGCCACGCCTGAAGAGGCCGAGACCGGCCAAGCTGCCTACCGTATCATGCTCAAGCGAGAAGATATGGAGCATGATCCTGAATTACTGTCCCTCCTTGATAGCGACGAGGTTGTAAGATGGGTGGGAGAGAAGCGACATATTATCGCCTACTCAATCGCAAACAAGTCCATATACAACCTTTCAACTGTCCAGCCAGATGATAACTTTGCATCCGCTCCTTCTATCACCTATACAACGAAAGGATCCAAGAAAGTCATGTTGGAAGTGTTTGAGACATTCTGCCCTCTTGTACAGAAGATGCTTAACCTGGTCCCTGAAGGAGAAGTCTGCGAGTGGCGACTAAGGATGTACAAGCCATTACCTACATGGACTCAAGGATCGGTGGCATTGTTAGGAGACGCTTGCCACCCAACACTTCCACATCTTAGCCAAGGAGCTGCAATGGCTATTGAGGACGGTTCAACAATCGCCGAGGTTCTGTCCCTTGCCCCTGATACTCGGCCCGAGACTATTGCCAAGTGCTTGAAGGTGTATGAGCAATCTCGAAAGGAATGGACTTCGAATCTCGTACAAATGGCTTATATGTCTGGTCGAACACTGCACCTGGGCGAAGGAAAAGCAAAGGAGGAGAGAGACAGGATGTTCAAGGAGCACAAGACCAGTGGATCGGTTCCTGATAAGTGGACGTCTCCGGATGTACAAAAGATGATTTACACAAATGATTGTGTCGCAAAGGTTAGGTCCGAGTTTGAGACAGCTTTTGCCGCAGCATAGTATCACATCAGTTTTGGCTTGACATTCACACGCTTGGGCACAAATATGCGCATTGAGACTGAATATTATGAAATTACAAGTCGTACTTTATCGAGGAAACAGAGAAACACATAACATAGAATCAGAGCTCTGTAGTCGAATGATCCCCAACGCCGTGAAACAGGAAACCCTTTCCATTTGCTGATGCGCCACGCTGCGCTTCCAATCCCTCCATTTGTTGTCTGCATGTCCGCTATCGGCGGTGGTATCGACTCGCAGTGAATCGCCATTTAGAAGAGGCAGTCCAAACAGCAGCAGCACGCCAGACCAGCGAGAAGACCAGTCATGATACCGCCACCAGCACCACCGCCTCCTCTCTGATCATCTTGGGGGTAGTAGCCCTGAGGGGGAGGCTGTCCGTAGGGGCCTTGCTGAGGAGGATAGGGACCCTGGCCGGCGGGAAAGGGACCTTGTTGCTGGTTGTAGTAGCCCATCTGAGGGGGACCTTGTTGGTAGTAGCCTTGCTGCTGGCCGCCCTGTGGGAATTGACCTTGTTGCTGCTGGCCGTATGGGTCTTGTTGGTAGCCGCCGTATGTGGGCTGAGGGGCACCTGGGGGAGGGCCGTAGGCGGGAGGTTCGTCTTGCTTGAAAGCCATGGTGTGATTTGTTTGCGACAGAAAAGGAGGTAATAGCTTTGGGGGGTATGGCGCGCAAAGAAAGTTATCGAGGTATATGGGACGAATGGAGCAATCGCCAAGAAGAAGTGAAAATGGGAATGGAAGAGTGAAGGAGAGAAAGTGGATGTGAAGGAATACAAAAGGAAAAAGAAAACGGCCTCGGATAGTGAGGAGAAGTGTCCAAAGCCAAAAGCCAAGCTCGTAGTAGATTGTTTTTGGCGTTGGTGCCAAAGTCAGTCTCAAGCTCCCTCCCTCTTCTCCCAGGCTCCCCCGGTCCCGTATCGTATCCTCTCACATGGCCTCAGCGCGCTTCCGAGCGCCACAGAGACCGCGTCGCTCCATTACGTGGACCCGGATTGGACTCTCTTTCAGCTGCGCCACGCTTGGCTCAATAGATTCGAGCATCTGTCCCTTGGCGTTTTTGACGGGTTCATCTCATCTCCCAACAAGGAGACCCTTTCAAGGATATTTACCGAGTCACAGATTTGTATCAGTTTTTTTCCAAATGGGGTTGTCTCTTGTCAAATCGTTTTATATGAGTGAGTATTTGCTTCAAATGCGGCTCTGAAACAAACCCCGAATTCAACGTGTTGCACGAGTTCAGCTGCGCCACACATCCCTCTTCCGTGTTCGAATCCTCTCATGCCGCTTTTCCGTTTAACCAGTGGCAATCTCCATGATGATTCTATTCAAATTCCGTCGGTGGCATGATCCCACGTAACAAAACTATCAAGCCTCAGGTCGAGATTCCTCAAAGTAACGTCACCAAATTACGCCTTTGATCATCAATTAATGCTCGACGCCCGGAGCGGATAAAGTTGGCCCTGTGGCTAGTGCACATCATGTGATTCGACCATCCATCCGCCTCGAGCACATGTGGCTTGACTTCAGCCCCACTTCTGCTCAAACCGCACCACGAAAAAGTGAATAAATTCAACTATCACTAAAACCCCACGATCACGAAGTGACGCCTCAACGAGCCACGACGACGCATCCCTACGGCACCGCGAGACCTACACAGAACCTCTGAACAAATCGCTCGGATACGCTCGAGTCAAAATGGCTGCCGCCGTAGCGAACCCGCCCAAGTGAGTTGCTCTGCTCTCCTTGACTGGGGTCTTGTATCGATATCCTTTTGACTAACCCCACCATTCAAAAACAGGCACGACTGGGCCGACGACGACGATATCGAGGAGACTTCCACCGATCTCCCAGAGCCTCAGACCATCTCCAACAAGGATGGAACAAAGACCATCATCACATTCCGTTACGATGACGACGGCCGAAAGGTCAAGACCACCCGCCGAATTCGCTTCACCACCCACACCGAGACCGTAAACCCCCGCGTCGCCGACCGAAAAACCTGGCCCAAGTTCGGCCTCAGCGCAAAGGATCCCCCCGGCCCTGCCCCCGACACCACCTCCGTCGGCGAGAACATCATCTTCCGACCAAGCGTCAACTGGCGAAAGGCCGAGAAGGATGAGTCCACCGACGCCAACGCCCAGTCCATGAAGGACAAGCTCAAGGACAAGCAGGTCAAGTGCCGTATCTGCAACGGTCAGCATTTCACTGCCAGATGTCCCTACAAGGACACCATGGCGCCTATTGGAGAGACTCCCGCTGGGGATGTTGCTGCTGGTATGGGAGACGAGGCCTCGGCTGCTGGCGCGGGCGCTGCTGGTGCCAACAAGAAGGGCTCATATGTTCCTCCCGCTCTGCGTGGAACCGGAACAGCTGGCGAGAGAATGGGATCCAAGTTTGGCGAGAGGGACGACTTTGCTACACTACGCGTTACCAACGTAAGTGCCGTCACGCCACCTCTTCACATATCCCACACTAACAACATATATAGGTCTCCGAGATGGCAGAGGAGCAAGAGCTGCGCGACATGTTCGAGCGCTTCGGCCGCGTCACCCGAGTATTCCTTGCCAAGGACCGGGAAACAGGTATGGCCAAGGGCTTTGCGTTCATCAGCTTCGCGGACCGGGGCGATGCCGTCAAGGCCTGTGCGAAGATGGACGGATTCGGTTTCAAGCATCTCATTCTGCGGGTGGAGTTTGCCAAGAAGGCTCAGTAAGGCTGCTGATCATGTTTCGATCTTGTCATGGGTTAGTTGTCACGCACGGTAATTGCATCGATCGGTTGCGGGGATTTTTTTCAAAAGATATTGTTTTTTCAACCTCATGAATTTCATGACCCTTGGGATATGGGGGGTCTGGAGTGGGACAAAAGTGAACTTTGGTCTTTTTGTGATATGAGGTATGATGTGAAGATAGGGGGAGACAGCATAAATCAAGATCTGTTAAATGAGTGGCCATCCATGGAGAGTGGGCAGCATTTGCTTAGAGGGTTACTTGATGGGGCGATGAAAGGAGACAATGGCCAGCTACTCGCCAAATCGAGCTCTCTGCTTTCCCTTCCTCTTCCAAAACGGGTGTCGTTCATGTTGCCTTTCGGGTTCGTCCTGGAACGGATTCTTATGAATGGCCCGTAAACTCACACATGAGGACGTATGACAATATATCAAATGCTTTCCATGGATATGGTCTGGCTATCTGCGGCATGATTAGCATAGAAAATGTTTGTTATCTGCTGGAACGGCTTTACCACACGCTGGATTCATATATTTGCATTGGAGAGTGAAGCATCATGGTGTTGGTCACCTCCAGTGACAGCCAAGTCAACCGAGATCTAGCACCTTCGCATGGCATACGCTTGCTAAGTACACAAGCATTCGACAAACTCAGGACCAGTCATTTAATTTGTGATAGAGAACTTGATGTTAAATGCTGTTAAGAAACGTGGTCTTATGGCGATATCTTATGGTAGAAAGAGTACTATTGGCCATTCTTCATCTCTCTGGTACACATCAACGTGAAGATCTCGACAAATAAAAGAGTGCCGTAATCTCAGAATATCTGGATATTGATTTGCCCACCAAATGGTATGAAATTTAACATACCCGCCTCTCGCTTTGGCAGCTCTGTTATGAGATCCTGTTTAGTGACAGTAGGCCATGAAGAGACAACACACAGTCCATGTTCAAGGAAAAGTGTTTCCAGATAGCCTATGACTTCTTCAAATATTGTATCTTGGAAATATTATATCATGGCATTACCGCTGGATAGTGCCCAAGCTCTGGGTAAAACTCCCTATCCTCGGATGGGAGATGGAGGAGAAGCCTCTGACTGGTGGAATGGCTAACCATTCGCGCCTGTAAGTTTCAGGATAAAGAAAGATGGTTCAATAGAGGCTCATGCCGTGTGTTCTAGTATGGAAACTAACAGAAGACTAAAGATAAGTAAATATCCTCGTCCCATATTAACCGGTTGTCAACCCGAGGCTTTCAAGACACGAGGTTAGCTCAGTCGCAAACAAGCAAGGGTCAGACGATGCGGGATATAACTCGTGCATTTGCATGCCAACGGGGCTCTTTCGGGCTTCCCTTATAGGAATTAGAAAAGGACACGAACATCTAGACAATTGGTCTTTTTTTTTTTCATCTCAACATATTTGACTAGCTTGGAGCAAGGGTCGTGTAATTCGAGACCCTGAATGTTTTGTGACCGGGGCGGATATTCCATGCTTGATTGACAGATATTCCCGATTCAGAATGAAGGTCTTGTGACCAGTCTAGAAAGGCCGAAGAATATTGTCATTTGAATATTTTAAAAGTTACAATGAATAGGTAAGTTATTATGGCAGATAAATACTGTAAAGATGGCGTCGTGGCTAAAGGTGTCGAAGTGCTATATCGTCAGCGTCTCCTTTTGCTGGAGACAAAGTAGGATATTGAGTAAGACTTTATATACCAAGAATAATCAAAAGACTTTGCCTCAAGGCACCAGTCCTAGATGGCCTCCTGCACTAAGGAAATGGTTCAATCGTGAAAAGTTCAGCCCCCGGGACAATGGTTTTTTTGCTTTGAACTTTATTATATAAGAGCTGATAGGTAGTTCAACTCCGCCGTTCTCGCCATCTGGGCATACTCTGGCTTGAGGAGAAACCATCACTTATCTGACAACTTTCTACGAGGAAACATGCTCACCATCTTGTGTTTGTTCCTTACTAGTCTCGCCATGCTTCTTGAGTCTCCCTTTGCTTAGGTGTTTTTGTCCATGGAAAAGCACCTAAATAAACTACCGCTTTAACCCCTTGCAATAGCTGTAATAGCAAGACCCTAGAAACAGTTCTAATTTTCCATTTTGTTGGGAGAAATCGTCTAGGATGTTTTGTCGTTTCTTCCATTACTTGAGGCAGATTTGCATGTGATTGTGCCCCACGCTAGACTAAAGGACCAGGGTTTATTGACTATCCGAGTAAAAGAACTGAGGCTTCTACGGGGAAAAGCCACGCATCAGATCGTCCACCTTCAGAGTGAGAGCTCAGAAGACGTACTCTGTAGAGCAACTCGCTTCCGATGCCCCCACCCCGTTGTGGGGTTTCTCGCCGTGGTACCTATCGGGAGGCGTCCTCCATCACGGAGCCGGAGACCGGTTAGAGTCCATGAGAGGGCGGGCATGGCAAACGGGTAGAATCGGTGGAAAGAGTCTTTACCATATGGTTTACAAAATCAGTTGGAATAGAGAGAATTTATCGATTGGCTTTAGCAATAAAGGTATAGACAAGTGCTGACTTGAGTAATATCATTCTTTGTTGCCGTGGTTCTCAATACTGCCCGTAACCAAAGAAATAAAGCACGCGACTTAACGAGTGGGGGAAGATGATGGAAGCTCAGAGTCCCCGCCCTCGCACATCTCACTTGTTAATGGAAGTAGCCCGGTAATCACAGTGGGTTTAGCGCTCTTGTCGCGGCGCAAATGCAAATGGACGCCCCCATTCAAGCCTCAATGCACTGTAGAGAGGCAAGTCGGTGACTTGCCCTGTTGATTGCACATGTTCGTTTGAACGGGACGGAAGGTGTCGCTGGCCTGGTTTCACGAACCAGACACTTCCCAACAACTTCTTGTCAATTTCGCCATTCTTTCTTTTCTTTTCATCATTTTCTTCCACTTGCACATGAGTTACTGTTCCATTAAACAGGCTCAAACAGCATCTTCTCATACGCCGCTTTCAAACCTCGCACCCATCAGTAGCTTCATGCATGCTACTCTCATTCTCTAACGCTCACTGGAAATCGACACTCAATCCCCTGCTAAATCGCTCCCCTCTGCGACTTATGGAGCCGCAGCTCCAGACCCAGACCCAGACCCAGAGCTAAACCAGGAACTAGCTCTAAGCCAGGGCTTAAACAGCCGGTCCAGCGATTGATAGCTCTGAACCAGGTGACCCCGTCCCTAACGTCTAAGCCAGCGGAGCCCTGACGTCGTTTCAAACTCCCGCCGCAACCCTCTCAACAGCCGACAATCAACTTCTTCCATTCCGATCTCTTTCATCTTTCTTTCAATTTCAACCTTCGCTCTTTTCTCCTTTTGGCATTCAACTTGCCAGTTCGTCGCCGTCTTTCTTGGATCTCCCTTGTCGCCATCTCACCACCCTCTTACTGCTGAATCGTGGCCAGTCATGAGTACTGCCGCCGATCTGCCTGCCACCGGCCCTGGGCTTCGGCAACGGCAATCTGGGGTTGATCCTTCTGCCCAGCAAGACAAGCCTCAAGAAGACCAAGGGCATAGTCGCCAGTCATCTGATGTGCCTTTCCCATCTGATAAGTCTAGTAAGACGTATGGCCGAACCCCAGACGGCACAGGTATGTACAATCCATTTAGGTTGTGGTGGTGGTGTGTTGCGTCGGTGCGTCTTTGGCTGACTGTCACATGTAGTCTTTATCGTACCCACAACCCATGATATGGTTTCTCAGCTCTTGGATCCTCGACAGCCTAAGAACCTTTCTGATGCAATTGTCTTGACGATTCTGGGTCTTCACATCTTAGCTGCTTATTTCCTGCCATCTAGCTCGAAACGTATTGTTTTCGCTGCTGTGTTCCTATTCTGGCGAGCTTGTTACAACATCGGCATTGGTGTTCTCCTCCAGATCCAGTCAAATCACCGACGTCTTGTCACTTGGGCTCGGCGCTGGAAGCTCTTCGAGAATCCTTCAACAGGCAAAAACCCGCGACCATGGCTCTACAATCTACTAAAGAACGAGCTCGAGACAAAGATCCCAGAGGACTATGAATTCGAGAAGGCCCCCATTGAGTACAATACTTGGTTGGTCTTCCGAAGGGTTGTTGATTTGATCCTCATGTGTGATTTCGTGTCGTACTGCCTGTTCGCCATCGTCTGTGGCCACACTCCTGAAGGGGAAAATTCTCTGATTGGTTTCTCCCGCTGGGCCGTTGGCATCGCCCTTATCGGCTTCAATCTCTGGGTGAAACTCGACGCCCACCGTGTTGTGAAAGACTTTGCCTGGTATTGGGGAGACTTTTTCTATCTCATCGACCAAGACTTAACCTTTGACGGTGTCTTCGAGATGGCTCCTCACCCCATGTACTCGATCGGATATGCTGGTTACTATGGTATTTCCATGATGGCTGCTAGCTACGAGGTTCTCTTCATCTCGATCCTCGCTCACTTGGCCCAATTCGCTTTCCTCGTGATTGTCGAGAACCCCCATATTGAGAAAACCTACAACCCTCCTCCTCCTCGCAAGCGAACCGTCTCCGGGGGCCAAAGTGATGCCATACCCGCTGATATAAAATCGCTTGAAGGTGCATTCGACCAACAAACACTTACGCCCGCCCAGAAAGACGAGCCCGCTCCCGTCCACAATCTCGTTGGTTTAAGCAATCTTGACTTGTTCCGCGTTCCTGACTTTGCCGTCATTCTTATGCCGTTCTATGTAGCCGTCCTCACTCTTGTGACACCTTCAACTGCCGTATGGCAGGCGGCTTTCGTGTTTCACGCTCTAGCCTGGCGTGTTTGGTATCACCTCGGCCTAGGTCTTATTCTCGACCAACAGTCTAAGAACAAGATGTGGACACGCCACTTCCTTAAATTCGGCGAGAGTGCTGGTGAAGCCTGGCGCCAATGGAAGGGCCTCCACCACATCTCTATGATCATGTGTAACACTGCATTTGTCGCCGCTTGCTGGAAGATGTACTCGCCTCCTGAAGACTGGGCCTATGGCCTGGTCCTGCTCAAGCATGTTCTTGGTGCTAGTCTCGTTGCCCTTCAATTGTGGACCGCATTCAGCGTCTATGATTCTCTCGGCGAATTTGGCTGGTTCTGCGGCGATTTCTTCTTTGATCAGCAGGCTAAATTGACTTACAAGTCTATTTACCGGTTCCTGAACAACCCTGACCGGTTTTTCGGAACGGCTGCAGTGTGGGGTGCTGCACTCATTACGTGGAGTCGATCCATTTTCCTTATGGCCCTGTTCACCCAGATCTTAACTGTCTACTACATCTCGTACATTGAGCGACCCCATATGCAAAAGATCTATGGTCGCAGTCTGCGTCAAGAAGCAGGTCTTACCAAGTTCATCAAGAAATCATTGCCCCCTCCTGTCAAGGGATGGCAAGAGAGTGTCGACAAGGTGTTGGATGACACCAGCCAGTTCGTTGAGGACTTTATCGATACCGCTCGGCCTAAATTCGCAGCAGGTGTTAAGACCATCGTGCGAGATACTTCGGCTCTTTTCAACATGGCTCCCGCACGACTCACCATCACAAGAATTGCTCCTGATCTAGAAGGCCATGATCCCAAGTTATACTCTCTTTCTGTACAGGGCACTCCTGTTAACAACGCACCTATCATTGAGAAGTACACTGGCAAGGAGAGTTTGACAGGCCGGTTCCCTAAGCCCGTTAAGACCATGGCTTTTGAATACGGAGCACCTCTTCGAGTGAAGTGGAGAGCCCCCGCGAACCACAGCAAGAAAGATTGGATTGGCCTTTACATGGTCACTGACAATCGTTCAAGGGAAACAACTGAAGTTTCTTCTTTGGGACGATGGGCACCTACAAATGCTGGGTCTTATGATGCCTTGACTGCCGATGTTAGCATTGTGGTCGAAGAGCACCCGGTAACTTCAACTGAGATCACAGAAACCGATCTGGTCGAAGGTGAAGTTGTGTTTGAAGGTGACAAGCTGTGGTGGACACAAGGTGTCTTCGAATTCAGATACCACCACAATGGACATCATCATGCCCTGACGATTTCAGAACCTTTCGAGATCCGAATCAGCAAGTTTGACGAAGAGGATGTCGATCTTGGTGCCAAGGGCTTGTACGAGCAAGCCGTCGAGGCCGCACTTCTTCCAATTGTTCAAAACTGCCTGGACCGTGATCCGGACATTGCACCCAACCAGCCTGAAGAGCCTTTCGGAGGCCACGTCGAACGCGACACAAAGTATGCCAAGAGGATTGTCTACGCCATTCGGGAAATGTTTGGTATTGAGTTTGCACCACCTGTAGTGGCCGCAGATGGAAGCGTTCGTAAACTTGCTTGGAGAATATGTAACGCTAAGGAAGTTCTGGTACGTACAACATGACTACGAGGTTGCATAAAGCTAACAGTTCATTAGGCTCCATACAGCATGTCTTTATCAAGAGGAACCACGACACCTGCAATCCAGGACTTCCCGTCAGAAAAGGCTTAGTTGAGAAACGAAAGTGCTTGGAGCTGTTGGTGACAGATTTTGGTGGGGATAGTATAGGGTGAGGTGTTGGTTGGAGTGCTTTTGAGATACCAAAAATGAAGTAAGAGGGTACTGAAAATAAAGAAATATTTATGACTTAGAAAACACTCCCGTAATACCTTCATCGTGATGGAGCAATGAAATTGTTATTGCTGATCGCATGGGCAGATCAATGCTGGCACATAGATCCTTCGTCCAAGTATGCGTTGGGGAGTAAAACTTTAGACCGTACTTAACAAACGGTACCCAGATAGATTCATGAAGAAGCCCCCAAGCGTATCATTAGTTGCCTAGATATATTTATCATTTGGGATCTTGGTCCCAAATTTTAGTCCATCACCTCCCCGAGACATGATATGATTCCTAAAAACAATCATCCAATCGATCAAACTATCACTGAATATGCAGCCAACCTGCCAACCTAACTGAAACTGTTTCTGAAACAAATCGCTTCCCGCGGAACGACGTTGGAAGCTGAACTCTAAATCCATGCCTCTAGCGGCAACACTAGATCCATCTGGTGATACTTGCATGCAATACGAAGTCATCACAGTGCCACCCGGATCTGCACGGCTACCGTAGCGTAGTGTATTCCTTCAGAGCCTAAGGCTCAATCTCACTTCTACATCTTCACCTCCATTTTGTCTTCATCGCAAATTGCTATCTTTCGCCTGTGTCGCTTCGTTCTTTGATCGACATTGGTGTCTCACCTATGCCCTCACCCTGGATGATAGCTTGCGGCTAGTGCGGTGAAACTGCGTCAGCTCTGACTTCGTCATAATCCTCAACTTACCGTAACATTGTCCATCAACTGGAGACAATGAAGTTCCTCGGTCGCCAAAGACTCTCAAAGAACCCCTTCCGGGATAATAGCATAGCGCTTCTCATCTCAACACTCCTTCTCGCTGCGCCTATTACTGTGTTTTTACTCCATTGCGTATATCAGACTTACTATCGCGGGGGCGCGCACTGGAGCCACAACCATGACATTCTTGAATTCAGCACTCACCACGAGCCGGATGTGCTGTTATATGTTGCGTCCTACAGTGGACTTGTTACAACGTTAAATCTCTCACCTGCTGAATATCGGGATACGCCTGTGAAACTTGAAACATTGTCCACGACAGATGGGTGTGCTGGAAGCCCTTCTTGGCTTACCCTCGACTGGTATAACGGAGTGCTTTATTGCACCGATGAAGGACTAAAAGATGGGAAGCATGGTTCATTGGCATCCTTCGCAACACATGAGAACGGTACCTTGACGCCTCTAGCGAAGACTTCCACAGCCCTTGGTCCAGTGAGTGCGTTGATGTATGGCGAATGGGATTACGGGCTGGCAGTAGCCCACTAGTATGTATTTCCGTTTGAGCATCAAGGCCCGGTATCAAAGAGCTAACGCTTCTCAGTGGCGGTTCGGCATTTACGACATGGGACATTCAAGATCCAGCAAATCTCACGTCGCTGAATGTCCAACAGTTCAGCCTTCCCGAGCCTGGCCCGGACCCTTCAAGACAGGAGGCTTCCCACCCCCATGCTGCAGTCCTTGATCCGAGCAAACGATTTATTCTAGTACCTGATCTGGGAGCAGATATGGTTCACATATACGGCGTTGTTTACGGAGATCTGGGCCTGTCCAAGCTTGATCCATTGGTCGTTACTCCAGGCAGCGGGCCCCGACATATCGCCTTTGTAGTTAAGGAGACAAAGACGTTCATGTACCTTGTCACCGAGCTGGCCAACACCATTATCGGCTACGAAGTCGTGTATGGTGGCGATTTTATCAGGTTCAAGGAAATATGGAGCAGTGGCATCCATGGAGAAGGCAAAGACGTGCCGCAAGGCGCTGCAGCTGCCGAGATTGTAGTATCAGTAAGTGTGTCCACAACTCTTGAGCTGCGTTTATTCTGACCTTTGAACAAAGCCGGATAGAGAGTTCCTGATCGTCTCGTCTCGTAATGAAAGCACTCTCCAAATTCCAGACTTTGACACCAGTAACAGCACTATAGCATCTGATCCTCTAGTCAGTTTCAAAATTGACTCAGAAACGGGGCATCTCAAGCTTCAACAAGACATTCCATGTGGAGGCAGATTTCCTCGCCATTTCTCTATCAACAAGGCGGGAACGTTGGTAGCAGTGGCACTTCAAAGTGATAGCCGTGTCGTCATCATTGAGAGGGATGCCAAAACTGGAATTCTGGGTGATTTCATCGCCTATGCAGAGCTGGAAGGCGAAGTTACAGCCGTCATCTTCTATGAGTGACCATGAACTTCGCCCTATAAAGAAAGATGCCCCACAGCTTCTTTGGTTCCGTCCGGCGTCATAGTGTGTATCCGTCTCGGTATCTCTCGTCCGAGCAACTGACGTTACTGAGAACGAGAGCTTCATGACGTATGACCGGCCATCCGTCTAAATACCTGAAACTTATGAGTATCGTCTTGAATTCGCAGGACTTGCTCGTATGCAGAAAATGCCAGTCTTGAATGCCTTGGTTTGTAGTTTCGGGTTGACGGCTGCCGGATCCGAAGAAGCTGTGGGTTGCAGAGTCAGGGACACTTTATGGATGCCCATTATTCACTTGATTGGTGTTGGGCTGCCACAACGGCTCGATCGTGTTGTTGTGACGCAGGGGATGATGTGAAGCACACTACATTAGCGTGTAGGTTGTTGTGTCTTTCATGCAGCGACCTCGGAGAACATGAGAGTCTGTCAGTCCATCCGGCCTCGACCACGGAGTACAAGACTGTTACTCTCCCGCGGGTGCAATCCTTGCCGGAGTTGTATCGGGCATTGAATCTCCCGGATGCCCAAAATGGGAATCGAGGGGACTGTGGATTTGGAGATCAGGTCGCAGCCTGGCAGCAAGGCTCAAGGTGATGGCCAGGGTGTTGAAGACCCTGAAGATGTTGTCGATGTGGGTAGTGGCACGGGCCCTTGGCAACTCGATCGTCTAAATAGTTGAGCAGCTTGCTATAAAGCTTACTGAGAGGGCTTGATGCACGTTCACAATTATCAGCATCATCTATTTGAGTTTTGACAGGAAATGTGTCTTTCAAACTCGAAGACATCGTCTACCCGAGAGTCTGGATATTTTCAAGCCGTGACCCGAACCGATGGGTTTCTGTCTGTGCCGTGCCTTCGTCTGGAGTCTCTGGACATGGTAGATTAAGGCGAGCGTTATTAGCCGGAAGATCCATCAAACAACCTTGCACCGCAGTTTTCCGTAAGCAGACAAAACGTGCCATACTTTTTAAGCTTCCCCGCAGGTTGACAGGCGTCTCGAGACGGGCACCCCAGACCGGAGCAGGCTAAAACCGAACCCCAGGTTGGTCACGGGCTGAGATTTGGATTGGACTGGGCTGCGAGGCTCCAACGGAAGAGCACTCCTATTCGGGCCGTTACATGGATCCGGCGCATGAGCGCTTGTCATGATGGGTGAGGTCGAGCGACGGTGCGTCTGGGCAAGGCAACTGTCCAATGTAAGTAAGTCAGTGTAAGCATTAGGAAAGCTGAGACCAGATTTCGATTTCAAAGCCACGTTTATTAGAAACAAAGGTGTGTGCGTCATATTAATATATCGGATGAGCCGGAGATCGGTATTTGAAATATTATTCTATATCAAAATCGCCGAGTGAGGAAGTGGGATTCCAAGCAAGCATCAAGTCCGTCTGGTGTTGAGAGATTTGCAGACCCCATGATCATGAGCGAGAGGTCCGGATGCCATCCGAGACAGTCAATCACTTGCTACGGATTGAAGGTCTTCTCCTCTCGTGGCGATTCTGACCCCGCTGGGGTCTAGAACCATTAATGAATGACGGTGACGGTGACGGTACGGTTGTCTGTCAAATCGTGGTAGAGATGCATTATTCGGGGCTCATTATGCCACCATTTGGAGGAGACGTATCTATAAGATGGCGTACTCGGCAATAAGAGGATCGTATTATGTCAAATAGCAACGGCAAAGAGAGGATTGCAATGTGATCACACATTGTTAAACTCAAGGATGAGGCATGATATTGTTGTGTTTTAGTTCCAGGTGCATTTCAAGCAATGAAGTGCAAGAACTGGGATGTTTATTAGCTTCTCCCGTGTGTTCTTTCCTTATTACTCTTGATATTGCTGCAAGGGCAGTACGGCAGGCACAACATGAGACGACATTTCCGCTCTTCCCCCAAAGCTTCAAGCACAGTATGTGCCTGAAATCCACAATCGAAGCAACAACACCATTTAACCTACATCTCCATCATGGAACACTTACCAACTTTGGACAACAAAATTTGTGCCAACAACCCCAATCTCAGGCAAGAAATTGAACCTCATCCTCCAGAAATCGCTTCCCCACACGCAAACGGTCGTGCTGCAAGGATTCCCACCAATCCCCCTCAGGAGCCGCCCACCTCCATCTCAACCTTATCCCTGTCATGGCGGGTTAAACGAGAACAACTGGCTTGAGCCATCCAATCCTCTGGGGAACACATGGAGTTGATGCTTGCGAACGCTTCAGGAAAGCCAGGATAGCGTGACGGGCAGCTCTACCGGTATTCCCACAGTGCCCTACAGAGCAGTAGCTACTATGGACTTCTCCAGACTCTCTGTTGCTGACGCTCTGTGACCCCAGATTTGGAAGCGAATCGCCTTTGTACCAAGAAACAAAACGTACGCCACCACCACTTTAAGCAAAACTGCCCCCGAGACAAGTCATTTCGGTTTCTGCTTGACATGTCATGCCATGCTGAAAATCAACTTCTCAGGTACCTCGATCGCGGAACCGAGTACATACACGTTGACCGGGTCTATCCATTGTTCGATGCTCTCTTCGGCCGACTCTGTTGGGCCAATAAATGACCCATCCCATCTCTCCAGAAGTCCCCCAGGTTGACTCTCTACCTTTCTTACCTAGTCTCTCCCCGCCCGTTTCTCCACCACCCTCTTCCGAGTTCCACCGCCCGCCAACCCAGGGTCC